GGGGGCAGGGCTCGGCGTCCTCTGTGCCCCCACACACCTGCCTCACCCTCCTCTCTCCGTACACAGGGTTGTGCAGAACGTGGTCCTCCTCTCCGACAGCCGGCTGCACCTTTTCCTGCAGAGCCAGCTCTCGGTACCGGAGATAGAGGCGTGCGTGCAAGGCCAGGGTACCCAGACGGTGACAGAAGCCATCCTGCACTACGCCATGTCCAACTGCGGCTGGGTGCAGGAGGAAGAGAGCCGCCCCGCGCCGCTGCCACCGGGAGGAGACCTGCGTGGCAGGTAACGCGGGCAGGGAAGGACCAGCCCGGGGGGTGCTTCCAGCGGGGCAGCCCCCGGCCCCCTTGCTGTGCCTGGAGCTGCTCTGGCTATACCAGCAGTGCTCTGAGGCAGCTGGTGACCTGCTGGCTGCACTGCCCCTTGCCAGTGCTTGCTGCTGTGGGGCTGGCTACAGCCTGATTTGGAATGGTTGGTGTCCGTGTGAGGGACTTCCACCAGTAGCAAACAGCCTGTGCTGTGAAATAAGAGAAGGTGCCAGGCTTTCTAGAGACCCCTGAAGGGTTTTGAGTTTTCCTGTCCTATCCTTGCTACAGTTGTTTGAGGGGATGAAGTTGAGCACGTGTTCCCCAGCCCTGCACACCAAACAGGCAGGATTCCTGTGGGTCAGGCCAGCGGTCTTGGGCTGTCACCACCAGGCTCCCGCCCCGCCCCCCCGTGGGGTGCCCTGTCCTGGCCATGGCCAGTTAGCAGAAAAGAGCTCGGGTCTCTCAGAAGAACTTAAGCTGGGATTTACAAAGGTCTTTATCCGCTTTCCTCCCTTACTCTCTGGGGACCGAGGAGCCTTTGGAGGCTTTCCAAGCTCGGGCTTTCCATGCATCTTGCCTTGGCCTTCACAGCGTGAGCAGGTTCTGCAATTCCTCGTGCCCATCAGAGTTTCAGAGTGCTTGCTGCGTGCTGGGGAATTAATGGGGCATCTCCCCGTGGGGTGGCTGTCCCTGAGGGTTTTCCACACTTGGGGAGGCAGCTGACCTGGTGGGAGAGGAGAGCATCCTCAGGCTGCTGCTGCAGCTTCATGCAAGAAGCTGAACAAGCACAGACATCACCTGCAGCAGGCACGGGGTCCCTGGCAGAGATGCCCCTCTGCCCCTCTGATGAGGTATTTGCCTGCCAAGCAGGAGGCTGTATCTGACCTTCTGCACCACCCCTGCCTGTGTTTCATCTTGGTTTTCAAATAGCAGGAAGAAAGAGCAGTCTGGACTCCAGCAAGAGACCTGTTTTTAAATAGAGCCCTTCTGGTTTAAGGAAGGGGGTTGAGGGAGCGCAGCAGCCCAGGCCAATGGGTAGGTAGCGTGGCTTCCTGCGGCCGCCCCGTCTGCCTCTGGCTGGTGGCACTTTTCCCCCCTTTTCCTGCTCCTCCTGCTCCGGGCTCGCGTGGAAGGGTGAGCGGCTGCTTCCGTGGCTGCGCTGGCTGGAAGCTGCGGGCTGCGGTGGGGCTGTGCACAGGGGAAGTGGCCTCAGCTGTGCAGAAGAGGTTGCGCCAAGGAGGCAGCGGCTGATGTGGAGACACACCGGCACCTCGGATCTTCCCCGGATCCCTTCTCCGCTCTGACCTGTTCTCTCTTTCCAGCTGTGCCGGCCTGGGAAGCCCGCAGGGTCCGAGCTGCCTGGAGACCTTCCCGTACTGGAGCGACTTCGGCATGGACGACACCCACTCAGATAGTCCGGATGAGCCAACCGAGCCCTTGGGCGGACGGCGTGAGATGCAGTGACCGGCGCTGGCGACCTCGCCTGCCTTCCCTGGCACCTGCAGCCCTTGCTGGGAGAGGGACCACTGCTGAGCCAGAGGGATATCCAGGCTGGTGAAGACTGGAGCTGCACTGGGAATGTGGCCTTGTCCAGGGCTCACATGCTCTCTCCCTGCTGACTTTTTGACTGTCCTTGATGTCCCAGGCAGTGTGTTTGTCACGCTCTTCTCTTGGAGAAGAGATCTAGTGGTTAGTGAAACCTGTGTTTGTCGTTCCCATGGCCTTTGCTCTCTGGCTGGAGCAGTAGCAGGGCTTAGTTAGGCTGCAGTGCCAGCAAGGCCCTGCGTTCTTGGCATGTCCCTGGCCCAGGGTGGGATACACCAGCTCACATCCAGCATGACAGAAGAAGGCTTTCCTTGGTGGAGCTGCAGGCTGGGAGCAGGGCCTGGCCACAGCCCAGTGGGTCTCTTTAATCCCCCCCACGTTCCCCTCCATGCTGCAGGCAGGGGAGGCCACGTTTCACCGCTGATAGCCACGCTGTGCAGCTCCTGGGGAGTGTGGTCGCAGCTGCACGAGAGCCAGAGCCCACATGTGGGGTGCAGATACCGTACCCACACCTGGGGCCTCCTGGCACAGCTTCCCCCCCGAGGTTGCCTGCAGCTGGGATGAAGGGAGATGAGCTTCCCCCCAGGAGCACAGCGCAGGGGAACGAGTCAGTGGGGAGGTAGAAGGGGGCAGTTTGTCTCCCCTGCCCTTTTTGAGGGGATGCCTCTTCTAGATGGGCTCCTTCGTCACACACCGACTGCCATGCACAGCAGGGAACGGTGGGGCTCACAGCCAGGATCTCATTTGCTGGGAAAGGAGCACGTAGCTGCCTTGGAGTTGGTGTCCAGCAGCGCTTGGGCTCTGGTTACTCCTGATGCCACTTCCTGTGCTCTCCTGCACCTTTTCCTCCCACCCTCGGCACTGGTGAAGGCAGAGCTGACGTGCTCTGACTTGAAATAAAAATGAAGTAGAAGAGACATACTGGTTGCTGGCAACGTGTGTCGTCGCTGCGTGGGTGGAGGGAGCTGAGCTGCGGCCGAGCTAATTGCAGATAGATGGCTTTAGGGGAAAGAGGGGGTTATGGCACCTCTCCCCAGGGGGCTGGAGCTGCTGGAA